CTTAACATAATTATATTATTCACTCTTTATTTAAATGATTTAAATATCTAATTTAGCTAAAAAATAATGAAATTCACTTTCAGCAACAAGAACCATGTTGCTGAAAGTGAAGAATACTTTTTGAAGGGAAAGTGTAGTATGAAATTGGTGCAAGATCCGGTCATGAACAGTAACCAAAAAATTTCAACAACAAAAATCATGTTGCTAAAAGTAAATACCACTTTTTGTTAATTAATTTATGAAATTGGTGCAAAATCCGGTCATGAACAGTAACCATAAAATTTCAGCAACAAGAATCATGTTGTTAAAAGTAAATACCACTTTTTGCTAATTAATTTATGAAATTGGTGCAAAATCCAATCATGAACAGTAACAAAAAAATTTCAGTAACAAAAACCATGTTGCTAAAAGTAAAGAACACTTTTTGCTAATTATTTTATGAAATTGGTGCAAAATCCGGTCATGAATAGTAACCAAAAAATTTCAACAACATGATTCTTATTGCTAAAAACTATTTTCAGCAACAAGAACCATGTTGCTAAAAGTAAAGAACACTTTTTGCCGATCAATTAATGAAATTGGTGCAAAATCCGGTCATGAACAGTAACATAAAATTTTCAGCAACATGGTCATTGTTGCTAAAATTCATTTTTAGCAACAAGAACCATGTTGCTAAAAGTAAAGAACACTTTTTGCTAATTATTTTATGAAATTGGTGCAAAATCTGATCATGAACAGTAACCAAAAATAAAAACTATTTTCAGCAACAAAAACCATGTTGCTAAAAGTAAAGAACACTTTTTGCCAATCAATTAATGAAATTGGTGCAAAATCCGGTCATGAACAGTAACATAAAATTTTCAGCAACATGGTCATTGTTGCTAAAATTCATTTTTAGCAATAAGAACCATGTTGCTAAAAGTAAAGAACACTTTTTGTTAAAATGTGTACTATTTAAATATCAGCAACATGGGTTTTGTCGGTAAAAATTCATATCACCGACAAGCAATTTCATGTTGCTGATACTTAGTTGCTGAAAACAAAAATTTTAGTAGTGAACAACCATCAAGAGATCTAAAGAAAAATAATTTGATTACTCTTTAGAAAAAATAACTCTTTTATTATTTCCATTACCAATTGTGATTAAGAATGATTTGATTCAGAATTTGTATTTTTCGTATTTTTTATGCCAAAATAACTTGATTATTCTAAAGAAAAAGAAAAATAAAGTCAAATTTATTTTTGGAAAGGGAAAAATATGGAATAGAAAGAGGGCTGTAGCGGTAAAGGTTAAAAGAAGTAAAAAAGGATAGTTATGGAAAGAGAAAAATATCTTTTTTTAGAATGATGGGTAAATATGTCTATTTATATTTTTAGGTGTGGCATTATCAAAATAGGATGTAGTAATAACCTTACCCGTTTGCTTAGGTTCCAAACCCTTGATGCTTCCGACCCTTTTTGGAATTTTTTTTGGTAAATTAGAAGATTAAACAAAATAAAACCAAAAACATTACTGCTTGGGGTAGCAAACCCCTACGAGATCAGCCATACACAACAAATCCACATTAGGTGGACAGTCAAACAAAATATGAAACCAATAAGGCGCCACAGCTCCTATTTTGGCAATAGCAATAGTAGCCATGTTGCTCTTCCTCATCACATTTTAGGTTCTGAACCTTTTTGGAATTACATATCATATTTTAAGTTCTGACTCTAGTTTTAGGCTGTAAAACGGCAAAATATGCAGATTAACTCCTCAATTTTTTGTGTGGTGGCCAATTATCCCCTTAAATCAATTCACTCGCAAATTAAACCTTTAACTCATAATTGATGGCAAAAAACCCCTTATTTGTAAGCTGACGTAAACAATCTGTCCAAACTGACGATGAGCTACTTCTTGGTGGGATCCATGGGTGATATGGGCAAAGAGTTGGATTTTTTTTTTTTTTTTTTGACTTGCTAGAGCTTAGGTGGCCTATTATTTGATGATATGGCAAGTGCTTTTTATTTTTTTTTCCCTTCTCTCTCCTGACTGCCATTCTCCTTTCTCCTTGTTTCTCTCTCCTCTCCAAGATTGGTGCAACTTCCAAATCTGAGGTCATAAGGGGACCAAGAGATGGGCGACGATGATGGTGATTAGGTGGTGCCGGAGGACTAGGCATAAGAGTAGAAGAAGCGGTAAAAGACTTCGCAATAAAGCAGGGTGATGTGTTTGTTGGGACTGACAAACTTGAATCTAAAACCCACACTAAGGTATTAGGGAGAGATGAGATGATCTTCATTGTGGTTACTCTACGGTTGATGAGCTGAGGAGAGATGAAAACTCGTCCAACATATAAAGGCACTGACGTAGGGCTTGAAGCAAATGGGTTCCCGTCGAAGAGAGCGATGAGGTTTGCTTCAAAACTCAAATCTTCTACTTTTTCTTCAAATTCTTCTTTTGTGTTTTTATAATTTAACAGTAGGATGAGTTTCTACAATTAAATCCATCAATCTCAATTTCCTCTTCGTTAGTCCAATTATGAAGATGAAATTGTGAAGTGCAGAAATGAAACAAAGGAAATTATGAAGATGAAACAGAGACTTTTGGATGAGTTTCTTTAAATTCTCCTTGAGCTGAATCAGTTTAATGATTAAAAAATTCTAATAAGCTAAGCACTTATTTTCATAGATTAATGTTATTGGTTTAGTTCCATCCTTAACAATTTTTTGTGTTGTTCAATTTTTTGATTCAATAAACCAGTAAATTTATTTTGCTTTTGATCGAATGTTTGATTGTGTATGTTACGTTGATGTGGAACATCTAGGGGTCAAAAGGCTACAACTACCATCCTCAGCTATGCATCCACCTGTTAGTTTATTATAACGGATTGGATGTTAATATAGAACATTCCAACGATCATATTAGTGGATCTTAACAAATCAATACAAATCATTCTTTAATTTTATGGTTTCTATTTAAATTTTTATTTTAACATGATTTCAATTGCTATGGATCTTTAGGTTTTTTTTTTTTGCAATTTTTGTAGTTTTCATCTAAGAAATTCTTGAACTTTTGGAGATGGAAAAGGCACAGGAGGAGATGGGTTAATTTTTCCATCCTTGTTAATAGTTAATTTATCTATTAACCCTCTTTAATTAGTTTAATTAGCCAAATATTCCATTTATTCTCATAAAAAAAAAACGAAAAGCAATGGGTTGCACATGGAGGGGAGGAAGGAGGAACAAAAAGCAACACATGTGGAATTTTTTTTGGCAAATTTGAAGGAGAAAGAAGGGTAATTTAGGAAGTACAGTATCATAAATTCCTTTTTACATTAACTTTTTTTTTCTAAGAAGTGACATGTCAATTGGAGTAAGAGAAAGAAGGGCCAGCTCACCTTGGATTTTGCCAAAAAGCAAGTCATGGTTAGTTTTGGATGGATTGCCTACGTTAGTCGTTCGACAAGGGGTTTTCTGCCACCGACGACTAGTTGAAGGGTTAATTTGCATGTGAATTGACTTGAGGGGGTAATCTGCCATCACCTGTAAAGTTGAGGGGTTAGTCTGCATGTTTTGTCGTGTAAAACTATGAATTCGTTTGTGCTATGAAGAAAACAACAGAGGTTCCAAAATTGGAATATATTCTTTTTAATTGAGTTCCAACAATAATAAACTATTGATTAAGCAACCTCAAAGCATAAAACCTAATCTAGAGCAAGAGGATATGCATACAACTAAAGCATATAATATCACATATTCAATAAAGTGAAAAGTATCAATAAATTAAGTGATAAGTAAAGTTATATAAAAAAATCATATAAAAGATTAAGATAATAATATAAAAACAACACTTTTATATAATTTTTATGTGTCGTCATAAGTGTATGTATAGTACTTAATCTAGCTTTAACTATTAAAAAGAGTTAATCTAGCTTTAACAATAAATATATGAAGTTTTAAACGATTGATTTGATATTATATAGGCATTAAATGAGTTTTTTATTTTTATTTTTTAAAGAAATTTAGGCTTAAGAGGGAGTAGAAAGTTTCAATAGGATTTAAATAATTAAAAAAAACTTAACTCTGTAAAACAGAAACTGACAGGTAAATTAAATATTTTTTCTAAGAAAAATGCGAAGCAAGAAAAGTGTGAAGCATAAAAAAGAATGAAGTACCGAAGCTGTAGAAAATAGGATAATGATATGTTTACCCAATGTTTTCACACCTTTCAGTTACACCCAACTCTTTCCGTTATTGTTTCTGTTAATTACATTAACTCCGTTACCATTACTTCTTCCTCTTTCTTTCTTCTTCTCTTTTTTTCCCTCTCTCTTCTCCATCATCGGGTTCTCTGGAGAACCCAGGTCTGGGTTCTCCAGAGAACCCGTTCGGTCCCAAGTACAATCTTTTCCTTTTCTCTCTCCTTTCCTTTCTCCCTCTTACTGTTTCGATTGATGTTCTCTCTCTTTCAGATATGGAGTTGGGTTTGAAATGTTAGAACTTTTGGGAGTTTTTTGGGAGAGAGAAAACAAATGGAACTTGAGATGTTGGAGAAATTCAACAACTTGAAAATTTTTATTGTTGCTGTAATGAAATTTTAATCATGGCCATTCGTTCTGCAGACCCACGCCTCCAACTTCCCTTTTTTTTATTTAATCTTCTTTTACTTGTTGTAACGAGATCAACTTTGACATTGCAACGAGATCAAGCCAGCGGCAACGAAATCCAACCAGCAACTATGTGCGACAGCGAGAAACATCCAACGACCATAATCGGCGGCAAGAAGCAACCAGTCCGCGCCAGATCCACGTCGCCAACGGCTCAAGACAGAGCCACAACCACAAAGGCGGCACCCACAAATCTGGTTTCCATCTTCAAAAACAAAAACCTTCAAGAAGAAATTAAACAAATTTTGAAGTGTAATCAGACCTGCCATGCCGATCAAACATTTATCCCTCACCAAAAATCTTTGATTTTAAGCACAAATTTCATCATCCCCCACCGGCAGCCATAAATCCTCTTTCCCACAACCAAAAGATCATTCCCTCTCAATAACGGAGTTAATGTAATTAACAAAAACAATAACAGAAAGAATTGAGTGTAACTGGAGGGTGTGGAAAATTGGATGTCTGTATCAGTGTTTTAGAAAATAAACTAATTGTTTATTTAAAAAAAATGGTGAGTATTATTGTGGTAATAATAACCCCACGCTTGGGCATGGTGAAACCAATCTCACGTGGCACCGTGGCAAACATGATAATTTTAAATGTAATGATACGGTAGATAATTTTTATATAATTTTTAATATAATTTTTTCATTTTATTAAATGACTCATTAAAATGAGTATATATATATATATATATATATGATATTATGAGTCTAACTAAA